AGGATGAATGCATGTTATCCTTTACATTCATACTCCTGGAAACAGATGGAATCAGATGCCAGCTGTTCCTAGGACGATTCGAGCAATACGCAGCACGATCAGACACGCAGATGATGCCTTCAATTCCTGTAGATGACATTGCACTAGAGTGATTGATAGTGACTCAGCCTCAGAACTCCCGACAGATGAAAGCGACCACCGTCCAAGACGTAAGCTTCAAGAGCAAAATCTTAGTATTCCGCGTTGTTTGTTCACTTTGTTAGCAGTTAGTGTCTGCAGTGTCCTGTGATCAGAGTATGAGCATTGAAACAGAAAAGTTGCATAGGTACCCATGCTTGTGATTTCATTGTGTGTGTGGAAATGGTCACGGAGTTTGTATGGCAGATCACAGCCGTGATAAAGCCGAATGGCAGGCAGGAAATTTGCTTGCTAGTAGTGGCACTGTTATTTAGTGGCAATAGCTTCAGTAAAGATAAGTGACGTTTGCAAATTTTTCGGTCTCAAAATGCTAAGCCGGTCACAGTTCTTTCGGACATATAAATGCACACAGGACTTCCCCCAGCTGATAGTATAAAGGTCAAAAGCGTTAGATTGTCATTCGCACGATTACCCATCGCCATCTTGAAAACAATTTGCGCGCTGCGCGAACAGCCTCTGGAGCTCAGAGTGTCGTTTAGAAGGTGAGCGCTCGCGAGCATTTGCGAGCGTTCGCTTTCCTGAACACGCCTCTGTGTGTCACTTTTCCCCGGGCGTAGAGCGAGGGTGCCGCTACGTGGCAGCACTAGTCACTTCGTACACTTCCGTCATTCCACAGTCGTACTTCCATGCTAGACATGGCCTTATTTCCTTAACCCCAACCCTAATCCTAATCCTAACCCTAACCCTAACCCTAACCCTAACCCTGACCCTAACCCTAATCCTAACATTAGTGCTGCCACGTAGCGGCACCCTCCCTCTACGCCCAGGGGAAAGTGACACCCGTTAGACCACAGGCATTTATTTTTTTCGATCGTAATAAAAATCGTAGTTTTATGGAAACTGGTCGTAGTGGTCAAAATGCAAACGAAATTCGTATAAAATATGGATAAATCGTAGTAGTTGGCATCTCTGCTCGTGTATAAATAGACATCTCGTCTTCTTTACACTCTACATTTTCACGGAGAGAACATTTTCTGCAGGATTTCACGAGATATCTCTGGCAGGAGCAGGTAAGGATTCTATTACAAGTCAGCTTTACCTATAGTTTATGTACTCGTCACCTAATTTCAGAGAATTGTGTAGAGTCAATACAAAAGCCCAATGTTGTACTAAGACTAGTGGTAAGAAATATCACGTTACCTGTAGCATTTTTCCTGTGTGTAGTAGATATTGGCAGGAATTTGTAAACTTTAACAATCAGGATCATTATAATTATATTATGAAAAATTCCTTCACACTCCCTTCTCCCCTACATGTCATCGCTCCCCCGCCAGCGCCGCCGCGCCGAACTCATTCTCTGAGATTACACATCATACATATCTACACATTCACAATCTACATATCATCTGATATCATCAAGAGTACATATTCATACAATTATACATTATGCTATACGTTTACATGATATTTCCCAACAAGTATGATCAAGAATTCAAGCATTGTTCTAATTGCTCTAATTATTTCAATTGTTGCGCTAGCAGCGATTAGCTTCTGGTGTTACTGCTTGTCTTGCTGCATCGTTTCACACGTGTGTGTGAGTGTGTGTGCGTGTATGCGCGCATGTGTGTACGAGTGTACGAATGTGTGCGTGTGCGTGTGTGTGCGTGTGTGTGCGCGTGTGCGCGTGCGCGTGCGTGTATAAAACCCCAATCAATTGTGTATTATAATTACACTGGCATTTCACGTTGACCTTACGCAGTAACACTCTCTTATTGACGTGTACAAATGTACGTATCTTAAATTTTATTGGGAGCTCCGCGCTTAGGCTTGCCTATATATATATTATTGTGAACAAAAACAAATGTTTGTTTACTTTTTGCTGACCACGTGGCACCACACAGAATTTGATGATTTGGTTGGCTCAAAGCCAGATCATTGTCTCATCATGTTTTGCATTATCATTTTTGCTGATATGCTGGACGTTACATTCATCCTGCGTTAATATATAGGCCTAAACCAAATCGTCACATTCTGTTTTGAATGAAGACTACTACTTGCATTACACTCGGTTCTTCTTGCATTTCTTGGTCATTGCAGGAAGTAGTGGAAATGCTCGCTTGGCACACATGGGTTCTGCATTTTGCCCGCTGGTGTTTCCTTTCTTAGAAATGGTTGATTGTCCTAAAATTATGGCATTGACGGCTGGTTCGTACTGTGAAATCGTAGAGTTTGTAGCCATACCATTGCACAGACCTCTCTGCTGACAGAAAAAGTTTTCCACGATATCAGAGTTAATATATCCTGGAGTTAACGAAATTGTGTCCTTGATGGGTCTTTCTGTCATGGCAAGGAATCCAAATACAGAATTCAGATCATCTCGTGTTAACACTAAAGACTTATCCAGGGCATTTGACTCCCACTGATTGAAGAAGTCCAGTGCATCTACCATTGTCACGATTGCCCGGTTCCTGTCATGGAAGATGGTCACTAGCAAACTAGTCTTCTCTAACAGAGCGATTGTTTACGCAAGCGTTTCTGGGCTATCGGCATGATTGGAGTACACTCACATAAGGTACAGCATATGCGCATCTAATACGTCCATTGCTAGATGATTTATCATCTTTGAAGTTGGTGTCAAGTAAACATGGTCACTTGTTAACTTTCTGTGGATCTTCAAGCCGTTACTCTTATTAAATTCGTATGCTTTCACCCAGTTGTCCCAGACCACTGGGTATCCTTCAATTTTCATCTTTCTAGATGAAAGTTTGTTACAAATCTTTTTGAGCGTATGCTTTATGTCCTGCACGAAAGTAATCTCGTGTGTGGGATCATGTATGTCCTTGATAGTGTACAGCTGCTCCCTCGGATCACCACTGAAGTGCATTTTCATGAATGACCGATTTGTTGACGCCCCATCAACACTAACGCAATCTACAGTAAAGCCATATCGACCCAACATATCAACTGCTTGCCAGAATAGTATATGAAGCTCATATGCTGTTGCAGTTGATGGTGGAAAGTATGCCACTGGCCACCGAAACCCTTGAAATCCGAGAAAAATGAATTGTATGCATTCACTAGCCAAACTTCATTCCTTTTTTCTCTGTCTCAGAATCCTGATGTTGTTACACAACTCTCCTAAATCACACGCACTAACAAGTGTCCATTCATCCCCCTTCTTCACAACCTACAAATCATCCTGGATGCTCATTTCATCCAGGATGAGACCACCCCTCCTGCATGGCACATTCCTTCGATCGGCCTCTTCACCATCCATTGAAGGTTTTGCGTTTTGAAGCCAGTGGTTTGTTTGGCATTATTTTTGTACAGGCGCAGTGTACTGTCACTGGGTAATACCAAAAACCCTGACTCCTTTAAGTCTCGGTATGCCTGTGGGTACCGTACCCACATAGACAAGGAAATACTGATCACAGCTGGGTTTCACTCGCGTTGACACACATTTTCAGTATTGAAATTGTACAACTGACTTTTGCAAAAGTGTCTTGAATCCATCTGTGCAGTTTGGCACCACTTCCTTGAGAATTTCAAAGAGGTCATCGTGGCTTTTCTTGCTCAAGTCTAAAGATGGTTTTAAGTCTGTATCATCATCAACTGAATAATTGTTCTCTTCGGTTGTCTGACTACATTTTATAGCGATTGATGCTGTCCCCACATTTCTTGCATAGTCCCATAGTCCTACTTGTGAATAGCAACACCAGCTCACATTTGTGAGATTTTACTTTTCGAACTGGTTTCACCACACGTCGTACTCCACACTTGTGGAATCAAAGCTTTCCCAGAAATTTCTTCTTAGTAGTCTATTCCCGTACAGAAAACCATTTTTTGTATTCCATTGAGTAGTCCTGTAACGTCTGTGACGTTCCGCACGTAACGAGAATAACACACATGCAGGTACTCAAGGGTCCCAACAGAACGGTTTATTTGGTCACACACATCGCATAATATTGCTGGACTTCACATCGCAAACGTTCGTAATGTTCGTGAAAACTGCAACACAATTCAATACAAGTGTCACACGAATACCGCACACTCGACACCAACCAAATCTGGGTCACAGAAAGACAAGCCGCAAAGTCTATATACCATCGCAATACATCGTCATGCATTATTAACGTACACACAGTTCACCAAAGTATTCATAACACAATGCACATATATATATATACCTCTGGCTTGTGTGATATCTCAAATAATTTGCTCATGTTTCGCAAACCCGCACATTGCAATGGGCGACTCGGGAACAAAGAGAAATCCCACTCACACAAACATTGTTTACGTCATTTCACACACGCAGGCTTCAGCGTCTCAGTCGCTTACCACCACCACCAAGCGCCATCTAACGGTAGACCACAACACTTCACGTGAACGTCATATCGTGCTACAGTACATACACTCATGTTATAATTGCATATAAGCGATGAATGGGCGCTCCCCGATAAGCGGAAAACACGGCTACAGCACCTATCGCTTACATCATCAAGACACCAGTAAAAAAGAGAGGTATCTTTACATGGCTCCTCAAAATTAAGACTATTAATTTTCTTTATACTCTCACCACAACTCAAACTATTAATATATGTAATCAAAAAAGGCTAATTTGCCAACAACAATCACATGATACATACACATATTACACAAAGTTATTGGGTACCTCCAGAGTCAGGTATATAACAGTTCAGACATAGCCAACAACACCAGGGCTCCTCGTGATATCACTAGGGGAATCTATCATTTTCAAGAAGCAAGACCACTGTATAGGCCACTCCAGGTATCGCACTGGACATGTACGTTGTCCCCTGGAGTCCAATGCGGCACTCAACGCGAGCTTCACCTTGCGCATACGCTGATCTTCATCTGGGTAAGTCTCCACGACTTTCGCAGTTTCCCACTGATTACGAGGCAAGTTGTCACCCTTGATCAGCACCAAATCACCAACAGACATGTCACGTTTTGAACTCGCCCACTTTTGTCTTTGTTGAATGTTCTGAAGAAACTCTGCCCTCCATCGGGTCCAAAACAAATTGGGCAAGTACTGCACTCGGAGCCATCGTTTGCGGGAGTACAGATCTGTCGTTTGGAACTCTCCAGGGAATGGCAGAATAATTTTGGACTTCATCGTCAATAAATGATTCGGCGTCAATGGCTCTAATGACGTTGGATCATTCAGTGTTTCAACAGTGATTGGTCGACTGTTCACTATTGCCGCCGCTTTGCACATAAGTGTTCTGAGAGATTCATCGTCAAGCTGGCAACCAGAGTCATGCAACAGAGTTGCGAGCACACTGCGCACTGTCCGTATCTGCCGCTCCCAAATACCACCCATGTGGCTAGCAGCAGGTACATTCATTTTCAACTCGAATTAGTCGCATCCTACTTTCAACAGAAACTGACGAACACGTTCCTGATCTACACTGTCAAAAGCTTCTTTCAACTCACGCTGTGCCTCTACAAAATTCGTACCTCTGTCCGATCTAAGCTGCCTGATGGGTCATCGGATTGTCAGGAAACAATGTAGCGCATTGATGAAGGAGCTTGTATCCAAACTAATTGCTGTTTCGATGTGGATAGCACGACAAGACAAACATGTGAAAAGCACACCATATCGTTTCATTTACGACCCTCCTTAATGAGCCTTGACCGAACAAATCAACTCCACAGTATATGAACGCTGGTACGAGCTCAAGTCTGTCTTGAGGCAAATCAGCCATTTTTTGTTCTTGCACACGACTTCGCAACTTCAACATGTGACGCATCTCGAAATATGCCGAAAGACCGCAGAGGAGCAGCCAACGATCCAAAATCAGTTTGCTCGTAGTTCGTTTGTGGTCATACCACGCCCTTGGTGTTCCACTCGCTCGTGACAATGACGAATTATCAGTTGTGTTATGTGATGCTTTGCAAGTAAAAACACAGGATGTTTGACATCATAGCAAAGATCCGCTCTCCTGATGCAACCGCCAACTCGCATAACACCATCACTATCAAGAAATGGATCTAGTCGGTACACAGATGATGCTCTCTTAAGTGTCTGATTATGCTCCCTGGCAGCTTTTCTGCCAGTTGCACTTCCGTTCACCTCGAGAGTGTGAAGAATCTTTACCTCATCTGGTAAGGCCTCAAATTGTACGCTCCTAACAATGTCAAGCTCAGCTTTGTGTATCTGCTCAACTTTCACTGGTACGCTGACGTCTTGTTTTCGGTTCGGTGAAGTTCACTACTGATTTGCTTCATTGTTTGTTTTCGGAGTTTGTCTTTCAGGCTTAGACACACCGCAACAGCTCTTTTTGCTCGATTCCAGTTTGAAAAATATTCCAATCGCTCCAATGGGAAAACAGCAAGCTTCTCTTCTGCTTGTGAATGAAATGTCTGAACTCTCTTCACTTCTGGGTCATCACAGGTAGGACTATACTTCTAAACTCTTCTCTCTCCGGAAGCTTGGTTTGCCACAGGAAATCAGCTCCAGTTATCCATTTGGACTGTTTCACGAATTCTTCCGCCCTAACTCCTCTAGATGCGTCATCGGCAGGATTCTGCAGTTCTCACATGTCTCCACTGAGAAGGATTATTTTGTTGTCGAATCTGCTGCACTCTGTTCGCAACAAAGATGTGAAATCTACTGCGCTCATTGCATATATATATCCAAGTACCACTGTACTATCTGTTCAGAAAAAATTCAGCGATGCCTTCTAATCTGAGCTCCTGAATCAACACCTTACTCACACTCGCAGATACGACGGCAGCCGTGAGGTCTCAATGGCGCAACTCTGGCCTTCCCCATAACGAAGGCACAGTGTGTTCCCCAGCAGTAATCTACTTGTCGCAGGTAAGAACATTGACCATATCCAGTGGAACTTGCATCAGAGAAATGATGAAGCTCTATAACTTCAACTTGCCCAAAGTCTGCTGGTTTAACGTATCTCTGGATCTTAACCTTTTGAAGATAAAACAATTCGCTTCTCCAACGCTCCCAAGCAGATCGCAAATTTTCTGAAAGTGGACTATCCCAGTCTGTATGATCCTTGCACATCAGTTGAAGAATCCGCTTCCCAACTAGTACAACTGATGCTATGAACCCGAGCGGGTCATACACCGAACACACGGTGGAAAGGACGCCTCTTCGTGTAAGCGGCCAGTCTTTCAAAGTGATCCGAAACTGGAACGTATCTGATTCTATACACCACTGAACACCTAATGCACGTTCCTATAATAACACACCAATGCAACTATAAACCATTGTCGATTATAGATAAATCGATTAAACAAGAATGAGCAAATTGAGACTTTTAATGAAATGTGGTTTACCTGAGATTTCGATGGGACTTTGAGTCTTTGTGGCTTTAGGGCTAGGCATTGAGGTGGGTGTGGTCCTATTGCAGCTTGGAAGAGTATTGGGACTTGGTGGCAAAGTTTGTGGTGCATCTGAAACAAGGTTTGTTCAAATATAATGAATAAAAACAAATCTTCTAAAACAAGAGCCGGGGGGGGGGGTGCTTA